ACAGAGCCCAGGCTCAGTTTTACCTCTCGGCCGGTGGTCCTCGTAACACCCCGCCGCGTCGTGGGAAACATCCACGGCTACTTCCACGCGCGGGTCAAAGCTCGCGCGCCCACGCCCATGCCGCCACCGCCCGCGCCTCGACCCCCCACGGTGCGCGCCCTCTCGCCCTTCCCTCTGGCAACGCGAGCGCTCGTCTCTGCCCACCTTTTTGGGGGTTCGCTTTAGCTGATTTTGGGGCGGGGGTTTCACGACCTCCGAATCCGGTGGATCTCGGCCGCCCGCCGCCGGAATCCGGCACAGGTGGAGCGCCGTGAGGCGCTTTTTCAGAGATGCCTCGTCGGGGTTGAGTCGCGGTGGGAGTTTGACGCTTGGTTTACCTGTCTGGTCCTGTTGAAAGCTCGAGTACTGCTGATGCAGTCTAATTTCATCTCATCACCAAGACTATTTCCTCAGTCTTTTAAGCTCCTATAATCTCTAAATTGCGCTCATCTTTGCTATAGTAACTAGTAAGTACCAATTTTGTACGATAAATCCGTTCTCCAAACATTGGCATCGCGCGCCGACCCTTACCAATTTCGTACGGTGTGCGTGTCAATTGCCGACGAACTGCCCATAATTCGAAGCATTTCTCATGCTCGTGATAGATTCGACCTTGATCCATGCGTGCTTGTTGCAGATTCCACTAGTTGGATGCAGCATGCCCATATCTGAACCCAGCATAGGGCATGCTCCGTCGTTTGTCAACCGTCTCTAGTTGCAAACGCCACGGATCCAGCTGATGGTGAGCGCCGGTCAAGCTGGCGCGGACGGACCTTCCACCAGTGATATTAGGGGAACGGGAAACGGCGCCTTAGAGAATGGCCATGCCCTCAAGGCAAACGAGGACAAGGAATGGAGGGGCGGCAGCAAGGAAGAGGACTGGCCCAGCACGCACAGTGCGCCGCCAGGCTTGGACGAGCACAAGCAGCAGCAAGGCCGGGTCATCCGCTGGGAGAAGTTCCTGCCGGTGGAGACACTAAGGGCCTCTTTGATTCGCAGGATTGTCAAAATGAAGGAATAAGAAAAATTCGGGAATAGGATGGCATGTCCCATAGTATCCTACAGAATTTGAAAGAATGTTTGATAGCGCAGGAGAAACAAAGGAATTCTACAAAGAGGTTTGAGTGGATGTAAATTTTCCTCCAAAATGTAGTACAAATGGATCCTATGAAAAAATTCCTAAGGATGTCAATCCTACGAATCAAACGAGCATCACAGAAAAAATTCCTAAGGGTTCAAATCCTTCAAAAATCCTGTGCAATTCCTTTGAATCAAAGGAGCCCTAAGGGTCTTGCTGGTGGAGAACGATGACTGTACCCGACATGTTGTCCGTGCTCTGCTCCGTAAGTGTGGCTATGAAGGTAATGCCCTGCAAATTTAAACTCTAGTTTCAAGTAAATTATTAAATTCGATTTTGATCTTTTGTAGTTTGTAGGTCTGTTAGAGGCCAGAGTGTTCATGTTGTTGTATTTTGTTCTCTCTCTTTCGGTTTTAGATTTCACTTCGAGTTGATTTTGAACTGATAGTGCGACCATACATCTATCACAACATTTATACAGGGATACTGAGGCTGGAGGTTATCCTCCTTTTCCAAAAAAAAAAAGAACAAGGGGATACTGGAATTGCTTACTGTGGAAAAGGGGGAACTGAAATTGCTTGTTGTGAAAAAGAGTGCATCGCGCATGCTAAAATAAGAGCAATGATTTTGATGGCACATCCTAATTGATCATAGCTAAAGACGCCATGATGCCGACCTGTATTTAGAATATGAGATCTTCATTCAATTCCCCAGTCAGCAATTAGTTGATCTGGCTATTAGTTTTACTTCAGTGGAAGAAGGTGCCTGATGGTGAATGCTCCTGTCTTGGTGCATCAGTTGATGGGCATGGTCAATCTTGATCAGTCAGCATAGTTTTGTTAACTGTTAACATGGATGAATGTATAAATGGCCAGGAACTTTGTTAAAAAGATGCCAAGGTGAGCACCAACACCGAGAAAGAAAAATCAAATAGCCAACTTACATTTGGTCTTGCTGCTAATTGAAATCAGTGCAACTGAAGTGATTTTACAAGGCCTTACTTATCCCCACTCTCACGAGCTAGCTGAAGCTAGGAACTTTGCAAACTTGAGCCTAGTTATCTTTGAGTAGTTTCTTGCACTAAATTGGGTAACGGTTTTGCTAGGTCTCAGTCGACTGAGACTTGGTTATATCTCAGTCGATGCTATATTTGTTTGATCTTGCATGGAGATCTGTGCAAAAAATTTCTTTTTAGTTTATTCCTTTTTCTTCCTATATACTACTACCTCCGTTTCTAAATATAAGTCTTTTTCTTCCTATGTAGACATATTTTAGAGTGTAGATTCACCCATTTTGCTCCATATGTAGCCGTATTGGAATCTCTAAAAGGACTTATATTTAGGAACGGAGGGAGTATGTCACTTGACTGAAACTTGGTTAAGTCTTAGTCGAGTGAGACCTAGCCACACCCATATTGGGTAAATACAAACTTTATTCAAGTGTCATGGATCTTCCTAATGTAAATTGTATGTTTGATGTGTTTGTTAATTTGTTCAGTACATTATGTTATCTCCTATTAGAATTATGCCTTTCCTTTTATATTCAAAGGTGAAAGCTAAATCAATATTGCTTTTCTTTGAAACTGTTTCAATTACATCAGTCCATTGATTGTAAAATGCATATCTTTCCTTTGTAGTTATCGCTGCTGAGAATGGATTGCATGCATGGCAATATCTTGAAGATGTGCAAAACCGTATTGACCTTGTATTAACTGAGGTCGCCATGCCTTGTCTATGTCTACTCAGTAAGATCACGAGTCACAGTATTTGCAAGGGCATTCCTGTGATCAGTAAGTAGCTTTCCTGCTCAACCATATTGCTCCAACAGATTAATACGCTTATTTTGGTCCTTGTTAATTTTTTAGTTTAAATATTCTTAGCTTCTAAAGCTTATGTTGTTTCCGTGCAGTGATGTCTAAGAATGACTCGATGAGTACAGTCTTTAGGTGTCTATCAAAGGGAGCAGTTGACTTCTTAGTGAAGCCGATACGGAAGAATGAACTTAAGACCCTTTGGCAGCATATATGGAGGCGATGCCACAGTGTAAGTTGCTTGTTGTTGGTCTAGCTTATTTCATGTCGGAAAACCAAGCCCAAAAGTCACGAGGGCATAGTTTCTTTGACCTACCTATTTATCTTCTCTGATTATCACTCTGGAATTTGCCTTTTTCTGAATCTAGTCCAGTGGAAGTGAAAGTGGCATCCATACACAAAAATGTTCCAAGCCGAAGGCTGGTGATGAATATGAGAACAACAGTGGCGGCAGTCATGATGATGATGACGATGACGATGCTGATGCTGATGACGACTTTAGTGTTGGGCCCAATGCTAGGGATGGCAGTGATAATGGCAGTGGCACTCAGGTACGTCGGTTACTTAAAATTGGAAGGTACTTCTTACTCATCAGAAGATTGCGATAGATGTAATATAAAGGGTATTAGTTGAATACTACTCAGAACAAATGTTTGACTCTTCCAAAATTAATAGGATTAATACCTCTGCTGGTTGAAAAGCTATGTGTTAAGTACAAGTTTTTCGTGCACATACTTTGTACTTCCTAGTAATTCACCCCAGATCAGATCCTAGACCGATTCACCGTGGGCATTTTAGACCTTCTAACGTCTCACCCTGAGTCCACCCTTAGAACTGAGTAACAAAATGATAGCGTTTGTGCTAATGTTTTTTAAGAAATCTCTTCTGGAAATCTATTCTCATGCCACCGATCTATATTAAAATGCAGAGTTCATGGACGAAGCGTGCTGTGGAGATTGATAGCCCACAACTTGTGTCTTCTGATCATCTAGCAGATTCACCTGATAGTACTTGTGCGCAAGTAATTCACCCCAGATCAGAGATAGGCAGCAATAGGTGGTTGCCGACTGCAAATAAAAGGAACATCAATAATCAAAAAGAAAATAATGGTATCTTATGCTAACAGTATCCTTTGTACAAAGTAAATACACCTTTTACTGTCTGTCAACCAACTGCCACTTCTTATGCAGATGACTCCATGGGGAAATACTTAGAAATAGGCGCTCCTAGAAATTCAAGTCTTGGGTATCAATCTTCTCCAAATGAGATGTCTGTTAATCCAACAGAAAAACAGCATGAGAATCTCACATGTCAAAACAAGTCAGTAAACAAAATAGTCATCGACAAACCAACTAGTCAAACTGCTGATTTGATTAGTTCAATAGCCAGAAACACAGAATCGAAACAGGCTGCTAGAATCACTGATGCACCTGACTGCTCCTCCAAGATGCCAAACGGGAATGAAATGAAAAACGATTCTCCCATCAACATGCCATCCCAAGAGCTGGGTCTGAAGATATCGGAAACAACTAGATGTGGAACTGAAATCCATGATGAACGAAGTATTCTGAAAAGATCAAATATCTCAGCATTCACCAGGTGCAAAGCATAACATCACTATAGTTACTAAGTTATGAACACAGTAATAAGTTGCGTACTAACTGTCCTTTATTTTGCAAGGTACCATACTCCCATGGCTTCCGATCAAGGTGGGGCAGCATTTCGGGGAAGCTGTTCACCTCAAGATAACAGCTCAGAGGCTGTGAAAACGAACTCCACCTGCAAGATGGAGTCAAATTCAGATGCTGCTCAAATAAAGCAGGGCTCAAATGGCAGTAGCAACAACAATGACATGGGCTCCAGTACCAAGAATGCCATCGCAAAGCCTTGTACAGACAGGGAGAGAGTTATGTCACCATCACTTGTTAAATCAAACCAGCAGACTTCAGCATTCCATCCGATGCAGCACCGAGTGTCACCAGCTGACGCAGCACGCAAGGACAAAGCTGCTGAAGAAATTGCCAATGCAGTGAAAGTGGGCCACTCAAGTGAGGCACAGCAAAGCTCTGTGCAGCATCACCATCATGCACACTATTACCGCCATGTTATGGCACAGCAACAGACATTAATTGACCGTGCATCAAACGCCCGGTGTGGTTCATCCAATGCGTCTGATTTACCCCTGGAAGGTCATGCTGCCAACTATGGTGTGAACGGGAGCGTCTCAGGCAGCAATAATGGAAGCAATACGCAAAACGGAAGTAGCTCCGCTCCCAATATTGCAAGGCCAAACCTGGACAGTGGTACCATGGACAAAACTGAGGCTGGCGGTGGCAACGGTAGTGGGAGCGGGCCGAGCGGTAGTGGCAATGACATGGTATGTCAGAATCAGCTCAGCCAACGAGAAGCTGCAGTGAACAAATTCAGGCAGAAGCGGAAAGAGAGGAACTTCGGGAAAAAGGTAAATCTATTTTCAGCTACATGCTTTCTAAAGCAGGGACTTAAAAAATTAGGCCCCTTCCAGTTTGATTTAGTATAGTATGAATGACCAGGAATGTTTTCCAAGTAGTTGGACGCAAACTAGAACCTACTTGGTTATTTATGTCATGACGATGATGAATATTAACTTCTTACTTCTGAAAGAGAGAAACGCTTAATTTTGTCAAAACAAAACAAAAAGAGAAAGAGCGAGAGAGAAACATGAGTTTTTATGTTGCTTCCAAAAATGTAATGGCAGGCCAGCAAACGGAATAGCGTAGCAGCATAGGCGTAGGAAATGTAATTGATAGTGCCTTGGGGAGTGCGATTTTATCTGCTGATGCATTGGACGTTTCTGATGGTTTGTATTGACGGCCTCATCTGCTTGGCTATTTTCAGGTGCGGTACCAAAGCAGGAAGAGACTTGCCGAGCAGCAGCCACGTGTCCGTGGGCAATTCGTCCGACAGTCTGGACAAGAAGATGACGCAGGCCAAGCAGCAGACAGATGACACGACCCTCCCTTCTGTAGCGAATGTTACTACATACGTACATAGGTTATTGACTCTCACATTAGAGTGCTCAACAAATAAAGACCCACCCGTATGATTATTGTCCCTGGCCGGCTGACTCCAGATAAAAAATTGTAATATCTAATCTATGTGGCCGTCCGTCGTAGTAAGCACCATGCATGTTACCCCTCGTTATGGTTTGCGATCTTCAGTTCTCTTGGAGAGATAGATATGCTTAGTCTTACTCAAGAAGAGTCTTAAGAAGGAGCAAGCCAGTAGCCAAGTTGTCACTCATATCTATCTATATACATAATGCATGTTAAATCATTCAACCTTGACCAAGCTGATATAACTGACAAGGTGGTGTTCTAAAGTCAAAAGGTTGCACTTCACTTCTACTCCCTCTGTAGAGAAATATAAGCTTGTTTAAATCACTAATACTCCCTCCGTTCCTAAATAATTGTCTTTCTAGAGATTTCAACAAGTGACTACATACGGAGCAAAATGAGTAAATCTACACTCTAAAACATGTCTATATACATTCGTATGTTGTAGTCCATTTGAGATGGTTAGAAAGACAATTATTTGAAAACGGAGGGAGTATAATGATTTAAACGATCATATATTTCTTTACGGAGGGAGTAATATGAGACCTTTTAGATCACAACTTTACAAAGGGAGTACTGATGTTTTGGCATTGCAGTTCCCCTAGCGTCTGCTCGAATACTCCATATCACAGGCTTACAATGTTGTGTACACCCCCTTTTCCAATGAATAAAGGCAACACAAACTTCCTAAAAAAAGGCAAAAAGAGATGCAACGATGCGAGTCCTGAACCAGGCAATGTTACTTTCCTTTCCATGATATTCCTTAAAACAGGGCAACTTCAACATAACGAGCGACGCATCAACTGGCATCACTGAAGTGATATCTGCTGTGCAGTTTTACTGTGGCCAAAGTTCTAATGTCTGCTCCCTGGGTAGAAGAAGTCTGCGCCGTTTTCCTTCACCTTAAAATGGAAGTTCCAAACTTTCTGCCCTTTCGCCGGCCTCTGCTCGATGAGCATTCCTTTGTTTACCACTGACAGCTGTTGACAAAAGAATGAAACGCTTGTCAACTGTAAATAAAATGGACGGTGCCAAGTGCCATCATTCACAATAAGACCAATGTTCGCTGGAGTAAATTCACAGCTATATATAGTGGCTCAAAAAATCAAACCAAGAACCGAAAGTATGCAGAGTGGTGATCAAGAACCGACCTGTCCATGAACATCAGCGGCTAAACCAGTGCTCAGAGGTGCTGCTTTAATCACAAGATCCGCAATATAGCGCAGATGTGCCAGAAGTCCCACACCATCCTCGCTTGAATAAATATCCTCATGAATAAGAACCACAAGCAAGCAATTCTGCCAAGACACAAGCAAGGTGTAAAAAAATGTGAATATGCTCTGAAGAAAGAGTACTGGCAGTGATTGGCAGATTCAGTTTTACCATCTCAGACGTAAGTGTCACACAATAATGCAAGAAGTCCAAGACATCATCTGCAGAACCATTGGCAGCAACTTCCAAGAGTGAAACATCATCTATCATAACCGTGAGCCGACCTGCATTTTCTCCAGCCCTGTATGTCTCCACCACTCTCTGAACAGCACTATACAGCTGAGCTAAGCTATCAGCAATGGCACCTCCCCTTGTTCCACCTGAGTAAAGAAGCATGCAAATCAGCGACTTGTTAACAATGATGCAGCATTTGGAGAAACAAGGTACTCAAAGATTGCTTGCCTGGGAACGCCTGCAAGTCAAAGAAATGAAGCCTCTCACTCTTCCTATGCATGGATAAGTTACAGCCCTGGAAAATTTCAGGAGACGAAGTCATAAGCCGTCCAACATTTAAACTAGGCCACAATACTGGTAGAAATCAAAAAATACACGTTTGCTGAATGGTCAGTCCAGCCTCCAGTGCAGCAATCAAAGTTAGATTTAACTTGTGCAAACTTGCTAAACCTTCTGGTTCTGGATGAGCTGGTTGTTGAAATACCGAAGTGTCACAGACATCGAGCTATTGCTGCCAGTTCACTCAGTACTGGCTTCCTGGCAACACAACTATACAGTTCTGACATCAAGCTTTATGCTTAAACCCAATGGTTCACTGCTATGATGGATGATGCTCGGCAACGGAGTTTGATTTACGACAGCAACTTCCGTTCCACATTCAGATTAGAGAAGGAATTTATCTACGAGTAGATTCTATACCCAGATCACCTTGTCAAATTTTCTGATGGGCTATCACCCATTTATTTACAGCTCAATACACTTTGATTTTGGCCCCATCGAGCCGATCAATCGATGCAAGTAAGCGCATGCTTACATAATTTCTCAACTAAGACATGGTACAGCTCTGCAGTACTCACCAAGTAACAAGTGTGTGTGAGACAGAGACCGTGGTTAGGTTATGGTAAGGGTGGTAGCAAGCACGGGAAGTGCTCGGGGAAATGCGGGTGAGCGGCCGGGGCGCTTACCATCTTGCGGAGGACGCGGTCGTAGTGCGAGAAGGGGTGCGCGAGGGCGAGGAGCGCCGCGCCACCGCCACCGCCCGCGGCGAGCGCGCGCTTGAGGAGGAGGTGGAGGACGAAGGCGGCGGGCGCCTCCACGCAGTCCTCCACCACCACCACCCGCGCGCCGGCGCACATGGCCTCGCCCAGCAGGTCCCCCCCGCCGTACTCCTCCATCTCCGCCTCGCCCAGCCCCCCCGGAAACCGCGACCAACAGACTGCGGCGGCGACGGCGGCGCAAGGAAGGACGTGCCTGAGCGAACTCACAGAGACCAAAGAGAAAAAAAGAAGAGTCCAAAGGAAGGCGTACTTGGAGGAAGTACGTAACGTAGGTCCGAAGGCGCGCCCGCCGTAGCGGAGAGTGCGCGTGCGTGTCCACGGAAGCAAAACGGTCACGCGGGGCGGGCGTGGCGTGGCGTGGCGTGGCGGAGGCAGCAGACGGCACCTGAGGACAGTGCGCGCATCCCTTCCGTCCTTCCTCGGAGTCGTGGACAAAAGGGAGGACGGAGTCGTCTCGTCTCGTCCGTTTCTCCCCCACATTCTTCCTGCGCTTGTCGTCCGTTCCAACCTCCGGCTCTCAAACCCTGCGCTGCGCACTTCCCTTCCACCATCCCTCACTCCCTCCCTCCCTCCACCACTGCATTCCGACGAGGCGGACGGCCATGGGGTGCTGCACCTCGTCGCAGAAGAAGGGCGCCGCGGCGGGGGACAGGAGGAAGGAGCCCGCCGAGAAGCCGTCCCAGATCGCGCCGGCCGCCTCGCCGTCGCCCACGCCCTCGCCATCAGCTGGTACGTGCGCGCGGCTTCTTCCTTCTTCCTCCTCTTCCTTTGCGGTGCGGGAATTCTTCTCCTCCTCCTTCTTCTCCCATGACGCCGGTGCGGCGCCGGTTCTTGGCCGTGTCTTCGCCGCGGCGGCCTGCTAGTTTGGCCCCGCCGCTCGACGTAGTCTCTTGGCATCGTGCGGTTGATCGGATTCTTGGTTCGTTTCTGACGTCGGTGGTCTATGAGCGAGGGTTCTTGCGCGGCTGATCCCGTGGTTTCTTTGGCGCTTCTTCCCTTGATGTCTGGTTCGTGAAATGTGTGCGGAATAGTGCCATGCCATGGGCGGCCGTGCCCGTCTTCGTTCCCAGAATTTGGGATGCCGCAATGCTTCCTCGTGATTTTTGGGTATTCTACGCGCAATCGTTCGAGTCGTTGCATTCTTGGGAATTAGGATTTCGTGCAAGTCCATTTCTTCGCGATTAAGTAATTGATTCCGCCAAGAAAGTGTGATTCTCGGCCCTGAAACCGCACAAGATTCACGCGTTCCTTTCTTTCTGCTTTGCATGTGCACATCTTTGGATATACTATCAAGAAATTGCTGCATCTTTGGACACTTCAATTCACTTTTTTACCAATCGGCTACTCCCACTGTTTCAACTTTCAAGTTTGCAGGGCAATGGAGAGATCTTGTTCGCTAATGTACCATGAAAAATATGTAGTACATCGAATATAGTTAATTTTAATAAATCAGGATAATAATTAGGGGCATTCTACTAGTCATTTAGTATCTCATTGGTCTGTGTGCAGGACAAGATATACTGGCGGTATACAGTATGTTTTCAACCGATTGAGTAATTAATTTCGCCATGAACTTGTGGTCCTAGGGGTTCTTCTTCTTTCTATAAAATACACGTCAGAGCACAGTCTTGAGGTCTTCTATATTTTTTTGAACATCGGTAGTCTTCTTCTATATTTAGAAGAAGATAACCAAAGTGGCCCAAAACCTACACAACCACCGTGGCGGTGGCGGTGGCGCCGACCAAAACAGTGCAAACGTCCAACTAACCTCCTAAAACAGAAAGTGTTGTTCTGGGTATTGAAACTGCACATTATTTTACTAGCTAGTGAGTAAATGTTCTCTGATTCTGGAAATTTTTATTTAGGAAGTAAATTAATGTTATTACGAGGGGGGACCACTGTGTCCCGATCGCGATGCTATGTGTGATGTATACATAATACATGTTCCCGGTCAAATTTCTGTCCCTTTTTCTTGCTATGGTTGGATTGGTGTGTTGGCCAAACCTGTATTTCGGTGATATAGATGAAAACTTAAGTGAGACACCAAAATAAAATTTTGAATATGTGCAGTACGATATGCCAAATGAAACAGGTTACATGTTGTTTATAGCTGCCCCTGTTTATTGTGCTTATTAATGAGGTACAACTGTATACATCTATGTGTTCCTAGTGTATTACTGGGTAACCCCATGCATCTATACTTTACTCAAAAACAAATAATTAGATGACATGATTGCTTCAACATGGATATTGTTGAGTAAAGAATTGTGTTATTTCTGTCATTTTGACTTTTCTGTTTACAATAAACCTTTTTGTTCTTGTATACTAATTGGAATTGTTCGGTTCCTTTTTGCTGATTCATAATTTCCCACATAAACGGGTGTTGTTTTGGATAATGGAAGTGTTTAGGCTTTTTCATGTGATTGCTGACAACTACAATGGTGGTGCATCTATTTTGTTTCTGCAGAGATGTCAAGATTAGAGGCCAGTCAGGGGGCCGTGCGCACTAAGTTGATCTCAAGCCCTGGTCTGCATACCAATCGCCTATCTTTCACCTACGAGGAGCTGAATGCGGCGACATTGGGCTTCCCACAAGATCACTTTCTAGGAGAGGGTGGGTTCGGAAAGGTTTATAAAGGTGTGCTGGACGGCAACGAGGTGAGTTCATCTGTTCTATGGGCAGTTCAATAATTGGAATTACAGATGTATTAAACACAAAAGATATTTTCTTGCTAAATTGTTAATCACATGAACGACAATGTGATGAGAAGTTAAACTGATGTGAGTTCAAGAATGGATCGCGGTAGCATTTTGTTTCGTATTTTTTAATGTTGTCGACGTTCTGTGCTATGGTTTACTGAGGTTGTTTTGTTATGAAAAGTGAGGCTTGTGAGAGGATATGGTGTACTATATGATTCGCTTGTATGTTGCTGCAACAGGTTGCTATAAAGATTCTCAACCCCAATGGATTGCAAGGGAACAGAGAGTTCTGCACAGAAGTTATGGTGTTGAGCAGGATGCATCACCCGAATCTCGTCAAGCTTGTTGGCTTCTGCACTGATGATGATCAGAGGCTTTTAGTCTATGAATACATGCCTCTGGGTTCATTGGAAACTCATATTTTTGGTATGTTACTAAACTACTATATATATATTTATATTGTTTGAAGAACAATCAGAAGCTTTTTTAATCAGAATTCGGTTTTGTTTTTTATCTTCCCAGATCTTCCCCCTAATAAGAAGCCTCTTGACTGGAATACAAGGATAAATATACTTGCTGGGGCAGCTCAAGGCCTGAAGCATTTGCATGTTAACTGCAACCCTCCTATCATAAACCGTGACGTGAAGTGTGCGAATATTTTGCTTGGTGAGGAATATCATCCAAAGCTGGCCGACTTTGGCTTGGCAAAGCTAGGTCCGACTGGCGACGATACTCATGTTTCAACTAGAGTGATGGGTACACCTGGGTATTGTGCGCCGGAGTATCTTGAGAGCGGTCAGTTGACTATCAAGTCAGATGTCTACAGCTTTGGTGTTGTCATACTGGAGGTAATCACAGGAAGAAAGGCTTTAGATCAGAGTCGAATCAAAGCTGAGCGTAGCCTTGCTGAATGGGTAAGCATCATTTCCTGCGTTTTTTTTCTTTTATAGAACTACTCCTTGCTTCCCCCCAATGCTATAATGGCTGTACCAAGGACAATATTGTGTTTACCTGGTATATCTTTGGTGAGTTCTGATTTCTATTTGCTTCTGAAAACTGGCAGAAGCATCATAAGTTTATTAGTAGTTTTTAACCATTTGATTACTATAGATTTGTTATCTTCTTTTATTACATTTGGTCTTGCCATTGCTGAGATAATATTCTTCTTGGCATTTCTCCATAATTCCTCATATGGAAGCCACAATAAGTTTGGCATACACTAGACAGAAACATATATAGTTTTTGTTTGCCCCTTTAATGTACATCTTAAGAACCCTTGTCTAAAAAGTAAAACGAGTTTCCCTTTCTACGATGAAGATTAATTGTTGCGACTCTTGTTGGTGTATAATTTCAGGCCACCCCTTTGATCAACCGGAGGGATTTTGCAATGTTGGCAGATCCAGCACTTGGCAATCAGTACAGCATGACATCATTGTACCAAGTCCTTTCCGTTGCTCGAATGTGCCTGAATACAACAGCCAGCCAGAGACCTCAGATTACAGACGTAGCTGCCGCTCTCGCTCACATCTCAAAGTCCAGAAGAACGCGGCGACCAGCCCACCAGCAGTCAGCAGCTCAAGTTCACCAACCCGGGGAAGATATATAAGAGGAACTAGTAGTATATCATAGTCATGGGGACACCAGTGCAAAGCAATGTAGTGTTTGTGGCTTTGATATGATGATGATGATATCGTGATCAAGAATAGGCTCTACTCCCCATTCCGATATGGCCAAATTGCTGGAGGGGGGAAGTTTTGTTTGTAGAAGCTAAATAGATAGAGTAGAGTAGGTGCAAATATCCATGTGTCCCTTGTTAAGGGCCTGAGGTTTGTCATATGTGGTTTTGGGAACATAGCTTCATAGTAGTTGAAGATACCTCCATGACGCTTAATCTTCGCTTCCTCCTCTTGTTGACATGTTGCTGATGGTTTTCAGCCCGTACCTAAAAGTGTTGATGGTTTTGTTGAGGTTGTGCTCCACAAATTTTGGTTCAATCTCTTCCTTTTTTTCATTTCTAACACAAAAATCTAGGTCATTGCATATTTTTCACTATGTAGTGTTTACTCCTATTTTATCTGCCATTTTTCAGGTGATTATTATCCAACTGTTCCTGACTCTTGTACCAGGCAGTTGCATGTCCTGCGACTGAATGCTATGGGCATGACAGGTCACAAAATGTAAACGAACACAAATATAGATGCCATATTTTACTAAATAGTGAATGATCATTCCCGGCAATAATCAACAGATACTTTGTCTTTTACACTAAGCAACATATGACAAGAATATGTTGCACATCGAAAGAACAAATAAGACACTGGAACATCATTTCCTTTACAGTGCTTTTGCAAAACTCTTTCAACAAGAGAAACAAAACATGCTCTTCCCCAGTATAACCCTATGACATCCTCACAAACTAACCTAACAACACAGGGGGTTTCGTGTGTGTTTTTTCTTTCTCCTAACCGTAACACTAAATATTGACAATCTTAATGAAACTAATCGGAGAAGAAAGTTTACATGGATGCCTTGCAAAGTGAGACCTACCAACATAACTCCATCTGACCATTGAACCCAATATGATACAAAGTACAATTTCAGCAAAACTTCATGGGAAACATAAGTTGATTCTTCCTGCCAACAAAAAATAGCTGGTTTCTATGGATTCTTCTGGCGATCGGGCAACCCAATCACTCATGGATATCAAGATCCTTGCTGGCACCGACGATTTTCTACCTGATTCCACAGGAGTTTAGCCTTCATTCGTTTCAGTGGGATTCGACTTTCCCTGATAAAAGTAATTCGAAAATTAATGAACCAACAGCACCTTGGTTTTTTATCATCTTTCTAGCTAGAAGAACCATTGGGATTGTCATGATTTCAAAATGCTATGTGAATATATTGCTCTAACTGCTCCTTTTCTCCAAGGATTACATAGAGAGGTTGGTCCTTCTGTATAGATAAACAAACTATTGTATCCTAGGGCACTGCACATTTTACGACGTACCTTGCTCTTTTCTAGCCATCCAAGCCCCCTAGAAAGTAAGCCCACTTTCTTGTTAGGTGTATCTTGATTTGGTTCTTGATTTATCTTCCCAAGGTCTGCATGCGGTGACCTACAAAAGAATCCAGTAAAATGAAATGTTACCATGTGAACATAGACTTGCAGAATTAAATATTAAAAATCAGTGAGAAATATCAGCAATAACCACAATATCTGCTGACAGAGAACGCGACAATGAGAAAACAAAAGAAACCAACTAAAGCACAAGCTATTAAGATACATACAATGAGCTGAAAAGCAAATTAGTCGTGCTCGTTGCCCAGTGTAAAAGTTCACAACTGTATTTCGAAAAGAGCACAGCAATAATACTAGGTAATACTAGGAGGGTGAAAGATTTCAGCTAAGTAACCAAAACATACTTTGGGGCGAACGTTTGGATGGCTTTAACCTGCCCGGCCTGGTACTGCTTTGTAGCTTCCAACATAGTTTCTGCCATCACAGCTCTCTTCTCCATTTGTGAAAGCGCTATCAAAACTGCTTCATACTTCTCCTGCATATACAAGGTATGAAACCTTATGCATCTCACCTTCCCCGACAGTATAAGTTGTACAAGTAGAAGGAAAAACAGCACTTCCAGAAAACAGCTTTAAAAAGCGGCTCCAAGGTTAACCTGGATCAAATGAGCAGCATATTTTTGTTCAGCAGCATCTCGCTCAGCAGCTATGCGGGCATCTTCTGTCACTTTCTGCTCCTGCTCCATTCTTAACAAAATCTGCATGGGCAAGTAAATGTGTGTACTTTTTAAGCAAGAAGACAGAACAAAATACTTCAAAGTTGAGAGTGTTATGCAATCTAAAGCCAAGGCACTAAAACAGCACCTCAAGCATTGCCTTTTCTTGTTCTTGCTTATCTTCGAAAGTTCTTCGGAATTCAGATACCTCTGCCTCCAAGTTCTCAACCTGAGAATCTTCTCTAAGTCAAGAACATATAGATCAAAATTTAAGAAAGAAGGGAAAAGGGACCAAAGGACTTAAAGTACATCATTACTGTGATAATCTTAAAGTGACTCTTTATTTAGAAACAAATACAGACATAAAGTACAAGGCGCGTGCTCTCTGATTTTGCTGACCATGTGGCAACTCAGGAATTGCAAAATGACAGTGTCTTTGACTCTACTAATCCTAATGTTGCCATGCTGGTTGAGGAAATCATCGTCGAAGCCAAGCTATAGATGCTCACTGGAGGGAAAGAGCTGCGTCAGCTGCCACTGCACACACGGCGGCCTGACGTTTGATCAGCTGTACAGCTCTTTCCCTTTTTGGTGTGTTTTTGCCTTGTTTTGTTCTGGCTTTAGCCCTTAGCCTTTCAGTTTATTGCTCTTCACATTTTTTGTTGCTTTGGCTGTAAGACCCACACCATCTCACTATCTCAGTGCCTCTTCTAATACGGAAGACATGAATTTTGATGCATGTTTAGGAAAAAATCCTAACATAAATATGCAAGGGATCTTTTTAACCCAAAAAAGGACGGGGAGTTTGAACTGCCATAAATTTGTGCTGTCCTATGGAAAGAAGTTAGTCAGATAACATCATTACCGTAGCACTCAGCGTACGTCTATTGTCTTGCGTGACCATCTCCATTAAAGCAGTTTCTAACTCCTCGGCCCTGTGATTATCAAGAAATATAAGCCAAGCTTTATGGACATGTGTTGAGAGGCCAAGTAAGCAAAATGTTACAGTACAAAATTAAGCCATATGGCCCAACTTACAATCACAAACAAGATGAGAATATACACGAATTTAAGGATTAATACCAATTCCAGATGCAGATTTAGATAAGACTTTTATAGTGAAACCGACGAACAGGTTTCAAGAAATTTGGTCACACAAAGTAAATATCTTCTGACTTATCATGAAGACGTGAAGGAGATAGGGAGCACAGTGTCCCTTTGAATAATACCTTTTCCCCTGAATACTGTAGCTAAACTCGGATGTATGAACAGAGCCAGTAGACAATTTGTTATTCAAACCAAAAAGTTCTTTTTGTTTGCTATTTTTAATATATGTTGAATACCAAAAGGTACTTTTGTTTTAACTATCACTCAGAACATTGAAAGGACATGCATTTTTCCTTATATTTAACTGAAGAACTTATACCAGCATCGTAGCATAACAGGAAAATGAAATTTATACTGATGCTGCCTTAAAGTGAGCACATATTACAAGTCTTAAGGGAACAAATGAAATCAGAACCAGAACAGAAGTAACATGAACCTGAGTTCAGCTGATCTTTTCTCCTCAAGCAGTTTGCACAGCTCAACCTTTAGCCATGTTACCTGTGTGAAAGCAATGCAACGTGTATTCAAAATTCCAGATTGGCAAAAGAAATCAGATTATTAAGCTCAACGAAAGCTAAATTATACAGAAAAAGAACCATCAAGCGTGGCCAAAAATCAGTTTGGTTTCATGCCTGGGAGGTCGACCAGGAAGCCATTTTCTTGGTACGACAACTTATGGAGAGATACAGGGAGCAAAGGATAGAATTGCGTATAGTGTCCATTGGCTTGGAGAAGGTTTATGATAAGATACCGCAGAATGTCATGTGGTGGGCCTTGGACAAACACAAAGTCCCAACAAAGTACATTACCCTCAGCAAGGACATGTATGATAATGTTGTGACAAATGTTTGAACAAGTGATGGCGACACTGATTACTTCCCGATTAAAATATGACTGCAGGGTCAGCTTTGAGCCCTTATCTTTTTGCTTTGGTGATGGATGAGGTCACAAGGGATATAAGGAGATATACCATGGTGTATGCTCTTTGCGGATGATGTGGTGCTAGTCGATGATAGTCGGACGGGGGCTAATAGGAAGTTAGAGCTATCGAGACAAACCTTGAAATCAAAAGGTTTTAGGCTTAATAGAACTAAAGCTGAGTACATGAGGTGCGGTTTCAGTACTACTAAGCACGAGGAGGAGGTTAGCCTTGATGGGCAGGTGGTACCTCAGAAGGATACCTTTCAATATTTGGGGTCAATGCTGCAGAAGGATGGTGATATCGATGAAGATGTGAGCCATCGAATCAAAACCAGATGGATAAGTGGCGCGAAGCTTTTGGCGTTCACTGTGACAACTGACAAGAGAGTGCTACAAAAGCTAAAAGGCAGGTTCTATAGGCCGGCGATTCGACCCACAATGTTGTATGACGCTGAGTGTTAGCCAGCTAAAAGACGATATGTTCAGCAGTTAGGTGTAACCGAGATGTGCATGTTGAGATGGATGTGTGTCCACACAAGGAAGGATCAGGTCTGAAATGATGATATACGGGATAGAGTTGGGGTAGCCCCGATTGAAGAGAAACTTGTCCAACATCGTCTGAGATGGTTTGGGCATATTCAGCGCAGCCTCCAGAAGCTCCAGTGCATAGCGGACGGCTAAAGCGTGCTGATAATGTCAAGAGAGGTCGGGGTAGACCAAACTTGACATGGGAGGAGTCCGTAAAGAGAGATCTGAAGGACTGGAATATCACTAAAGAACTAGCCATGGACAGGGGTGCGTGCAAGTTAGCTATCCACGTGCCAGAACCATGAGTTGGTTTCTAGACCTTATGGGTTTCAGCTCTAACCTACCTACCCCAACTTGTTTGGGACTAAAGGCTTTGTTGTTGTTGTTGAAAAAAGAACCATTAAATTATACAAAAAGATCATCACAGAGAACTGTTACGAATCACCAAAATTTAACCATCAAAGTGACAAATAAACTTGGATGCATATAATACACGCATCTTCATTACATTCTTTTAGGGAAACAACCATCTCATACAGGAAAAAATGGAAATCAGTAGAAGAGGATCTTTTTTACCTGATCTTGAAGATCAATGCCCTCATCCAACTCATTTTCTAATGCTGAACCAGTAAGGTAGCTCCCCAGGTTTGTTGACCCAGAGTCCCCATTCACTTGCAAACCATCTGCCCCTTCCTTGGAATCAACTTGTGGGCACACAGATGAGGGGTCATGTTTAAAGCTATATAATTTAGTTGCTAACCCCTTCTTATCTTTCCAGGATTTACGGTCTTTTGATCTTTCCTCCATAGCCGCTATAATCTCTGGCCTGTGCTTTTCTCTTAGCTCTTGCAATCCCATTTCTTTGACTGACTGAAAACCCATACAAGCTGTCAATACAAGTTGGCTGCTGTCAAAGGTAGAGCCAGCAAGAGACTGCAGTAACGTAATTGCATCTCCAGCATCCTTTGTGGTCACCAAGGCAGGCCCTAAAAGTTAACATAAAAGATATAGTGTTGGGTAGACATCAAAGTTTAGTCAAATGAACAAACAATAGGACATAGTAACATTTTCAGATTAATCCAAAAACAGATAACTAGTACCATATAAGTCCAGCAAAGCAAGGGTTGTCCGGAACAACATTGTACGATTTCCTTCAAAAAGGATCACATCCCAAACACGAAGAACTAAAAGACAGGAAAAGTTCCAATCAGGTATAGTTAAATCATTAATCTGTTCGAACATATATACAAATATAAGGATTATGTAACACATAAAAAAACTAGTGTGGTTTTTTTCAATATCCTAACAAATTTTCTTGAGATGCTAAGTAATTTAAGGGGCTCTAAATAATCAAATATTACAGGAGCAAGCTAGAGAAAAATGTTCGTAATTGTATATTGTCATATCTTCATGAAAGCACAAAGATATTGTATAAAACCTGACCACTTTCCCATGGAAGCATGTTGATGAAAATTGAAAGAAACCATGGTCCAGTCACCCATGTCACCTGAACTCCCAAGATATCTGTATGTTTGGCTGAAAGAGAGTTGCAACCAATGTGAGTGCAAAGTGATAACCACCATCAAACGCTCTCAAGGAAATAAATCATTGTGCCTTCAGACAAATCTAAGCTATGTCAGCTCCTGATTTCAACTGAATGTGAGTCATATCCACATGCGTCATTTTTTTAGTAATACTGTGAATGTAAAAATACATAGGTATCAGTAATATCACTGGAATACAGACCCAATTTTGGGAACCTTTCTCGTACAACGTCCTCAAGAACAAGTTGGTCAACCTGTGAATGAAGCGGCAACATTATACAACTGTTCGCGGCATACAAAACATGCATGAATAAATCGTCAAAAAATCAGAAGTACCTGTGATTCAATCATTTCCTCAGTGTAGTAACCCTCAAAGTACTCATCAACGACCCCCACCAGAGCCCTAAAATACAAAAAAAAAAAGAAAAAGAAATTGTAGAACTGGAGCTAGCTTACGATCTTGAACCATAAAATTATCATTCATCAGATGTAGCTTTCAAAAGAAAAGGCACAGTCCTACCAGAATGCATTCTCTTCAGGCATGAACAATAAAAATAGCCCGGCAAAAAAGTTCATGGCCTACAAGAAAAAACAAAGATGTAAGATAAAATACTACCATCGTTATCTCAAATTAAAAGTACAAAGCAGATTTTAGGAACATAGGCTCATACAAACCCCTTCACAGGTCTGCACACGATGCAAATAAATAAATAAAATCATAACACTAATTTAGGCACATGTAGAAAAATCATGACAAAGTATAATGTTATGCATACTGTACAAACAAAGCAAGAGATAATAAGTTATATAACAAAGCGATGTTCATATCTTTTGTTTCCTTGCACTACACACATGATAGTATTTTTCTACACTACCATGATTGTTTTTTAGATTTTTTAAGATGTCTAGGCGTACAAACTCATGGATGGTTGCAAATGGGCTAGATTCATACTATTAGACTTTCCCCTTAAATATATAAAGTACAGATGTTTCTAAAACCGATGCAGGGTATGTGGAAAGCAAGATAAATGTAGCCTAAGTAGTGAATTGAACATGTGAAAACTTTCCTGACCTCGTAAAGCTAGAAAATGATGAAATTGCATATATGAAATTAAGGATAGGCCTCATTGATCTCAACCATGTATATTACTTATTACAGTTGAGAAGATCAAAATTTGTTCATCAGAACTGATTGTAAAGTTCATAATTTCAAAGTAGACAGTGGATGATAGATTATAAATCTCTTCTATTTTTATTTTTATTTTTGAAATGTCATCGACTATAAGATGGCAACAAATTCTTAGCTAGAACTAACCTTTGAAAAATGGCGTTCTTTCATAGTTCACTTAAAAAGGGTTACAAAAAATATTTACAGTTATAGGTTACAAAAAGGAAGGTCAAAATCCAAAAATCTTCAATGAGCAAATCACCTGGCAGTATCCAACAGATGGATTGTGCCTTGCGTATGCTGTTAATAACCGCCTCAAGGCATTTCTCCCGTCCTCATCTAATGCAGGGTGTCCTGGAAATGTTCGAGGCAAATCCTGTAATGATAACAGAAAAAAAATCAAGTGTTTAGAAACACTAGAACTTGTTAACCAAGGGCACACTTCCACTTAGTTTGAACTGTTAGTGAACAACCTTCTCTATCTGCCCTTTCCACTTCTCAGGCTTGGAATCCTTTTTTGGTGAACTTTTCTGTTCATTCACCACTTGGTCCTTAAGGTCCTTTTCATCCAATACATCTGTCCTTTCATCTAGCAATTTGTTGTAATACCCAGTGATTTTCCGAGCGCCAACACCCACAAATGCTTGCCACATCTGCAAGGAAACAAACCAAATGTAATTGTAAAGGTATATCTCATAGACGACAGAAAAGCAAGGTGCAATTCTGGTTGCAGCTGCACCTCTCCTCTAAGAGCGATTGGCACACCTCCACGAACCAAGCTCTCCAGTTCCTCCCTCCAAGGAAAATAAGACCCTCCATTGTCTCCCTCCAATGTAACACTCGTTGGATCACCAGGTGCCCCGTCCTGTGACCGATCTGCCTTCTCTGCATCATGTGACTCCTCTGCTGAATTCCCTTCATGAGTTTCTTCTACTGCCCTGTCTTCTTCAATTGACGCAAGCTGTGTTGCAACCTTTCCAGATATGGCATTTGCAGTATCATTTCTTTTGATGACCCGAGAGCTCATCATTTTCTCAATGATGCTGAGTGATGCCCTCACCCGCCGCCAGGACTCGACTTTTATAGGCTCCAATTCATCCAACAACCCCTTATCAAAGGGGATCTCTTCAAACCTTTTGAAGTTGTCATTTTTCACTTCTCCCAGTTCTTTCAACCCTCCATTTTGATCTTTAAATTCTTGAGAGCCCCCATTTATAACTTTTATTTCTTCAGAGCCTTCATTTATTTCCTTCAATTTTTCCGAGGCTTTGTTCAGCGTTACACAGTCTGCAGTACTCTCCTCTTTCAGTTTTTCTGAGTTGCCGGTGACATCTTCGAAATCCTCTGGCTTGCCTTTAGCTTCTATGGATTCATCATTCTCACCAACTTCATCTACGCATTCTATTTTGATGTTCCTCTCTTCGGCTTCACCTTCTTCTTCTTCATCATCACAATCCGCCCCTCTGCTACTGCTGTCCTCTTTTGGGGTTTCCAAGTTGCTAGTGACACCCTTAATATCTCCTGGCTCACCATTTACTTCTCTGAGTTCCTCGTTGCCGTCAGCTTCCTTCAAATATTCCAAATTTTTGTCAGTATCTGTATTTTCGGCTTCATGGTGCTCTTCTTTGACGCTCTTTTCTGCACTTTCAGCATCCCCCGCAGCAGCGGCATGAATGCTGGGTGTGCTGGGCAAATCCGCAGATTCAGCCAATCTGTCCAAGAAGTCCTTCCATCGATGTGTTCTCTCATCTTCCTCTTCCTAGCGACCAACCCACAGAAAGATGAGAAGTTTCCATCAGTAAATAAACAAGAGAAAGGAAGAGAACATTTGCAGTCTGACAAATTACCTTGTAAATCTTGGCATACTCGCGGAAACGCTGCAGATGCTGCGGCCGCACCGCGAATCCATAAGCGTCCCTGCGCCAAACCTCAACAACATCAGCCACAATGCCCAGAGACGACAACCCCGGCCACCGCATTACCCCCAACACCAATCCTGACCCGGACCAAATCTAGAAAAGACGACGAGGAGAGGGAAGAGGCAAAGAAATGGAAATGAGGGCTGGCATTTATGGGCTTTACCGGTACTCGGCGTCCATGGGGATCAACGCGCATTAAAGAAGAAGCGACAGGGCGACCTGGGCAGCGCACGCCATGGATTGACCAAAGCCATAAACCCTAGGCCGGCCGCGCCCCGAGATCCGCGCACATGGGAAGCAATGCGAGGGAAAAAAATCAAATTGAGGTGAGGAGGTCGTGGGCGGGGTGGGGGGCGAAGAATCACGAACGGCGGCGGGATCGCGGTGAGATGGGAGGGGAGCCGCGCGCGAGCCCGCCCGTTAATTGCACCCCCTCCACGCCCCCCGATGCCCGGACGCGAGGCAGAGAGGGAGGGGAAAATAGAAGAAGATGGATTCACCGCAGATCGTGGGAATGGAAGGGGGAAAAAAACTCGTTTTGCGTGGAGGCGGGAGCTCCGGAGCACGTGGCGCGCGGCACGACGATGTCGGCGGAGCGGGCGGGCGGGCGAGCGCCATCGGTTCCCTCTGGTTGGTGGACGGTGCATGGCTCCGTTGCTTGGTTGATTTGCTGCTGGCGGCACTGACTCACCTCTTGTGGTCGAAATCGAAGTCGAAGGGCGTGGCGCCCATGGTGGCGCGGGCGGCCCGGCGGCGGCGCGCGCCGTGGCCGTGGCCGGTCGTCGGGGCGCAGCTGTCCGTCGTCGTGGTCTCAGTTTGACTCGTACTAAGCAGCTCCCGCGCCGCGAGGGAGGACGAGGAGGGGATCAGGATGATTAAATCCGGCTGGGTTTGACCCGGATTTTGAATGATGGAGATTTCGTGAACGAGAAAAGGAGAGGCTTTTTCTGTAGTCCAACACAAGCTTCTCCGCTGATCAATCGCGCCATCATTCAGGGTGCGTGGTTCATTGGTTGGTGTTGTGCACTGGACTGTGTATGTATCTTTGATTGAAACTAAATTAAAAGGGGAGGATCGCGTAGTGCGCACTTAATTATGTGGTGGTGTCGCCCTCTCTGTGCTCCCCTCGTGCCATGGCAGGCCAAGTTTGACCTCGTCCGTTTGCCGGTTCGGTGAAGAGAGGACCGGACGTGGTCCCAGGCAGCAGGCAGCGAGGGGAATCGGATCATCTCAAAGCATCTAGGAGTACAACTGAGCCTGTCAAACCGGCCTCAAAATGCCCGGGCGGTACGTTCGGTCACTCACCGATTATGATTTTTGATCTAGACGAACGTCTCAAACATGTTTCAAATGCTTGAACTAACCGACACTTTTCATATTCAGCTCAAATATGGAGCGGCCGGACACATCCGCCATGTCGGACCGTTGCTGGGTCCCACCTTAAAACAGTCTAAACTCCGGCGGTCCGAAGCTCGTCTCCTCCATCGGACCGATGTCGCCGCTCCTGTGGGCCGTGTACTACCTAGCTCGGCTATTTAAGCCGACGGCCAGCACCGAAACCCTCCCCTCCACATTTTCCTGCTCCCGTCCGCCGCCGCCGCCACTTTTCACTTCTCGTCTGCCACCACTAGTAGCCATGCCCCATGCCGCCAGGTGAGGAGCAACCCATTTCTAACGCCGGAGCGCCGGCTGCAACTCCTTGAGTATATCCGGGCAAGGCGCGAAGCCCGCACCGCCGCAGGGCTACCTTCAGATGCAGTGGATCCGGAGGAGGAGTTGGAGTTGGAGGAGGAGAAGTGATGCGGAGCATCCCACGTTCATCCCCATGTACACTCCGACTACTCTCCAAGCCCCAAGGATACATAAGATGAGACCTCGACTATACACCATTGGATACAAGGTGAACTCGCTCCTCTCCGAACTTTCACTTTCCATACGTGAGACATGGCTACTACCTCAAACATGTGTGCTATGCATGACCAGGAACCAAGAGGAAGCCCATGGACAAGAAGGCGAGGACACCAAGCACGAGGAACAAGAAGAAGGGCCGCGAAAGAAGCTCCAGCCACCGGACGACTGGTCGGGACCAGACGTCCGACGCCTGAAGACCCACCGGACGACCGGCCCGGACCGGACGACCGGCGATCCCGCACCCGAGCCAAAATGAGCGGACGTCCGACAAGTCCCGGACGTCCGACACACTCCAGCGTCCGAACGTCCGACCGCCCCGGAAATCCGGCACCACCTCATCCGAGCCAAAACGTCGGACGTCCGACAAGTACCGGACGACCGGACCCTCGCGAGCCACCGGACGTCTGGTACCTGTCGGACGACCGGCCCCTGGCTGTGTCCAGTGTTGCAGGCCGAAGCCCATGTACCCCTCACTTACCCCTTCGTGTCTCTAAACTATATATACTCCTCCACCACCTCCTAGTTAGGGTTAGCATTGGTTTAGCTCATATTAGAGATAGAGCATGGCTCATCCACATCGGATCTACTCCACGAGAGAGACCGCGGCCCCTCTACGGAGAAGATCCATGTTGGATTCAAGACCTCCTCACGGAGAAGAACATCAAGACCTCCTCACGGAGAAGATCGGTTACCTCTTGTATCGTCTGTTGTTGACTTTGGATCTTGTATCTTCCTTTCTGTTCATGGATCTAGCGCATGTGTGATCATACTTGTTGGTTTGAGTGTTCTCTTGTGTTCCCCTTTGTGGTTTCCCCCTCGTTTCCCTCCTCGTGTTCTTCGTGTTCATCGCGAGATCCGCTCCTTTCGTGAAAGATCGGACTATAGGGTTCCTACCCTACATCATCTTGGTATCTAGAGCCACGTTGATCACGATTTCGGAGCCTCCCCTCGTTGTTTTCTAGCCTAATTTTGTTGTGTTCTTCCCCAATCTCGAAAATCCCCACCAAAAATAGCCCCAATTTTTTTTGTGATTTGTTGGTTTGAGGAAGTTTTGTTGATTTTGATCCATGGATTTGCTTGGTTTCGAGTGGATCTAGCATTTCCCCACTTTCTATCCACGAAATCTCATCAATTTTGACCCCAAAATCATCATTTTCCGCCCCGGATCTCTAATCTCGCGTTGACCCCGACCCACCGGACGACATGACGACATGCCTATCCTCGACGAGTCCATACCTCCAATGGAGACAATGATGGTCATGGTGGAAGAAGATGCACCCCCCCACATGGTTCCATCAAGATGAAGATGACCACGACTTGGTATTCGACACCTCACCTACAACACTTGAGCGATGCTCTAAAGGTAACATAGGTGATGGTGCTTCTCTTGTCCCACTAGTGGACTATTTTATGAATGATTGCTTGCATGATGTTGACACACCTATTCCCATGCTTCATGCTAGTGCGACTTCTTCATGTCATGACTTACCTATTTATGATAAATATGATGATGAGCATGTTGATTTGCCTAGTTGTGATGCTATGCTCCATAGGATATCATGTGAAAATTCTATTGGTCACTTCGTGTTTGACAATCCATTAAACTTGTCATATGCTATGAGTGAGATCTCCCATATTGCATCATTTCAATCTCAACATAGTAACTATGCTTGCCCCATTAAAATAAATCCCTTTTGCACTTATGCCATAGATGACGAGATGACGGTCATTGGCTTTTGTTTTTCATGTGATGATATTGCTATGATTCCTTTACATGATTTGCGCAATTCATCTACTATGCCATGCCATGATCACAATGTTCCAAATATGCATTGTTTTGGATGTTGTCAATATTCTCCATGTGATGTTTCTACTAATGATCATGAGGAGACCCCCATAGTTTCCTCATACATATTAGGAGATTTTGATGCATTCCAAACTTTGCATGTTTGCCATGATTGCTTGCACCGTATGCATTCCATGAATAACAATGCTCTACATATTTCTTGTGATGCATTACACAAGTTGAGTCTCCATTATGCTATACATAACAACAAATCTATCATGATGGATGACATGTTTCTATATCACGCATCTCATTTATTCGAGCATTGGATATTTTGTGCTAACCACCACAAGCACGTGCGCATCATGATGGATGATGTGTACATCTACCACTCACACACAATTTTCCCTTTGTCTTTGTTTTGTGTAGGTACTCCCGTATACTCGTCAACCTCTCAATCCCAAGAGTTGACGAAACAAGCTCTTAAGAGCAAAGATGAGTTGGGATCCCGTGGACTATCCTTACCACTGTTCCTTTCGCGCAACGACTGAAGGAAATATGCCCTAGAGGCAATAATAAAGATATAATTTATTTCCTTATATCATGATAAATGTTTATTATTCATGCTAGAATTGTATTAACCGGAAACATAATACATGTGTGAATACATAGACAAACAGTATGTCACTAGTATGCCTCTACTTGACTAGCTCGTTGAATCAAAGATGGTTAAGTTTCCTAGCCATAGACATGAGTTGTCATTTGATTAACGGGGTCACGTCATTATAGAATGATGTGATTGCCTTGTCCCATTCCGTTAGCATAGCACTTGATCGTTTAGTTTGTTGCTATTGCTTTCTTCATGACTTATACATGTTCCTATGACTATGAGATTATGCAACTCCCGTTTACCGGAGGAACACTTTGTGTGCTACCAAACGTCACAACATAACTGGGTGATTATAAAGGTGCTCTACAGGTGTCTCCGAAGGTGCTCTACGCCCGGTCCCTGTGAAGGTTAAAACAACACCAACTTGACAAACTATCGTTGTGGTTTTGATGCGTAGGTAAGAACGGTTCTTGCTAAGCCCGTAGCAGCCACGTAAAACTTGCAACAACAAAGTAGAGGACGTCTAACTTGTTTTTGCAGGGCATGTTGTGATGTGATATGGTCAAGACATGATGCTAAATTTTATTGTATGAGATGATCATGTTTTGTAACCGAGTTATCGGCAACTGGCAGGAGCCATATGGTTGTCGCTTTATTGTATGCAATGCAATCGCCCTGTAATGCTTTACTTTATCACTAAGCGGTAGCGATAGTCGTGGAAGCATAAGATTGGCGAGACGACAATGATGCTACGATGGAGATCAAGGTGTCACACCGGTGACGATAGTGATCATGACGGTGCTTCGAAGATGGAGATCACAAGCACAAGATGATGATGGCCATATCATATCACTTATATTGATTGCATGTGATGTTTATCTTTATGCATCTTATCTTGCTTTGATTGACGGTAGCATTATAAGATGATCTCTCACTAAATTTCAAGATAAAAGTGTTCTCCATGAGTATGCACCATTGCCAAAGTTCGTCGTGCCCAGACACCACGTGATGATCGGGTGTGAGAAGCTCTACGTCCATCTACAACGAGTGCAAGCCAGTTTTGCACACGCAGAATACTTAGGTTAAACTTGACGAGCCTAGCATATGCAGATATGGCCTCGAAACACTGGAGACCGAAAGGTCGAGCGTGAATCATATAGTAGATATGATCAACATAATGATGTTCACCATTGAAAACTACTCCATTTCACGTGATGATCGTTTATGGTTTAGTTGATATGGATCACGTGATCACTTAGATGATTAGAGGGATGTCTATCTAAGTGTGAGTTCTTAAGTAATATGATTAATTGAACTTAAATTTATCATGAACTTAGTCCTCGTAGTATTAGCATATCTATGTTGTAGATCAATAGCTCGCGTTTAGCTCCCCTGTTTTATTTTTGATATGTTCCTAGAGAAAAC